AGTAACCGCTGCCAAATGGAGCAGCTGTTAGCTACGTAGCTTAGCCGAACTGTCCTGGACTGGGTGTCTGAGCTTTGAACTGGCGGGAGGAGGAAGTTTTCAGGGCTCGGACAGAACCAGAGCTTGGCGAGCGGCGATTTAACCGGCAGCTTCTGCAGACAAAGCTAACGTCAGAGAGCTGAGAGGACGCTGACGGAGGAAGCTGGGTAAAGAGTTGGAAGGTGGTGAAATAAAAGCGAGCTGTAGTTGAACTTACTCGATGTTTGGCTGTGTTAACAAAGTCGCTAGTTATTGATCATAAATGATGTAATCAGAACAATTGTACAGCTGTCAGATCGCAACGAATACCAAATCTTACAAACTGTTGCTTTAATAAACTACGACCACTCTCACTTTCCCACAGATCTCAGATACAACCCGGTCCCTGACACTCACACTGCGTTACAACTGAACAAGTTAACAGTCAGAAACTGGAACTGGAACATCCTCTGCTTGGAAAGTAAAAAAAAAACCTAACCGACCCCGACCTCCAAATCCTTGGTGTATCTCATTAAATCAGTCGTAAACTCATTACTGTAACTTCTGCCAGCGTAATGCGTCTTCATTTGTCCTCATCACTGATAAAGTTGTGTTTGTAGAGTATCAGCGAGTAATGAATCTTCGCTCTGTGTCACTAACAGTGGCAGATTGATTGACGGGTGAACGTCGGGATGTTATTGGTTGAAATCAGTTAGTTCATGCTGACGTAAGCACGCGTCACATTTAGTTTTACAGGGAGACACAATGATTGATTATTGATATAAAAACACAAAGAAACTGAGTGTGTGAATGTTTTTGTCATAAATTGTTAAATATGGGAACAATATAACTGGATGTGATCTTAAAGGACTTTATTATTTCACCATGAGCTGAGCCACAGTGAGCCGACAGCGCTCTGCCAGACTTCCCAAACATTTCAGAGATTCTGCTTCCTGGATTGAAATGAAAAACAGACCTGAGGCCTGTGTGTGTTTATCTGTTGGTGTATTTGTTTATTGAACTGTGGTCTGAGCTGTTCAGACAGCAGCAGCCACTGAGTTACAATCAGCAACGACCAACAGGAGCCAAATGACTGCATCAGTATTCACAACCTGACGGAGAGGATCCAGGTGCTGCCTTCACTGTCCTCTAACGGAGAGAGAACATCCGTAAACTGGAGCATCGTGATATTGATTCTCAGTTTGTGGCAGTGAGTCCTTCCCCCAGGTAGAGCTACCTGAACTCTCAGCATTAACACCAGAGACGTGTTCGCCTCCCTGCTGCTCTCACTTTCTCTCTGACTGAAATACAATCTGTTACCTTTCTGTGGAAAGAAAATCAGGATGACTTTTTAAATGTAATTCATCGGGTGAGCCCGGGTGTGTGTGTGTGTGTGTGTGTGTGTGTGTGTGTGTGTGTGTGTGTGTGTGTATTTATAGCCACAGCCGGACAGGAAGGAAGCCGAGCGGCAAACATCCTCCCGAGCCGGAGCGATGAATGTGAAGCTCACGCATGACTTCACCTCAATGTGACGTCCCGGCAGGAATCCCAGAGGACTGAAGCTCCGCTGTCCCATCGGGAGGAAACACCACGAACTGCTCGCATCGTTTGTTTAATCACAATTAACTCGATCATTTATAATGCTCTATAATATCAACTCAAACTGTTGTTGAGACTAGTTAACATTTCTTTGAGGTTAATTTAATTATCATTAATGAATTAATGTAGTTATTTTTCGGTGCTCGCTACAGAATATTAAATATATTTAAGATTTATATGATATAAGATTTAAAAGCTAACTAGCAAGTCACATTTGATAGCTTATGTTATTAAAACGCTGCCTAGCTAACGATTGATGTCGGTGAGCTAGGAAGCGTTTTGTTGACTCCGGGTTCAAAAGGGGCGGGACTTATTAAATAATGGATCCTGGTTAATATTTTGTATTTATGTATCAAGATCCATTATCAACTGGAACTGGATCAGCTGACTCCTCCTCTCTCTCCAGGAAGACCTTTTCTTTGTTTCTGGACAACAATCTCTCCTCTTGTGTGCCAGCTTCCTCTGTTTCCTCTTCCTCTTCCTCTTCCTCTTCCCTGCAGAGGATTACCTCAGAGGAGGCGGCGCCGTCGGGTTCAGCTAATGACTCGCAGTCCGGCTGCAGCAGAACAAATGGATTTACAGCTGCGACCGACCGACCGACCGGCCGACCGCCGGCTCCTTCACGCTCGCCTCGGCTCAACGGGAAGGAAAATTAAAAACCAAGTGGCGCTGTGGAGTGACGGCGCTGCCCGGCGTCTGCTCTGTGGGGAGAAACAAACCCCCCCCTCAGAGAGACAGACAGAGGACGCTGCCGTGTGATTGGCTGGGAGGTTGTAGTGAAGGAAGTGGTTCCCTTTATGGACGCAGGTCGGCTGATGACTCTAACTTATGTAATATAACAGAGTGGTTGTTTTATAAGAGCACACTGAGCCACAGTCTGCACGACTAATCACCTCGTCTCCTTATTGATTCCTGATCAGGTTTCTGTGTGGACAGGAGGACGCAGCATCAACACAAACAACTGTTTTATCTCTGAGTCAAGATTCAGTCAAAGAGTCAATCACGACGTTAAACCCTTTTTATATCTTCAGATAACCGACTGAAACCAAACTGAACATAAAAACACTGGAACAAACCGCAGGGCGATACCGCGGCCTGCCACCGGGGTCGGTACCGCGGTCTGCCACAGGGGGGCGGTACCACGGTCGGCCACCGGGGGGCGGTACTGTTCCGATTCAATTGCTTTGATTTTTAATGAACTATGCAAAAAAAAAGTCACAGTCCAACAGCTATCTAGAGAGCTAGCTATTTATATTTAATTTCCACTTTAGTAGTTTTTTAGTTTTTTAGTTTTTAGTCAAGTTTAATTTTCTATATAAATAAAGGAATATTTTATCTTATTTAGCGGCGTAGCTAACGGCATTAAAACAGGAAGGAAGTGAAGTCAGGTGTGACATCGACGAGCTGAGCGACTCCACATTTTATACGATTCTCTGTCTGTATTTATGTATATTTATTATTTTTAACAATCAAACAGACTTAATCAGCTTCTTTCTTGACACATTCAGTATTTTCTTCTCCCTGAAGCTCAACCACTGAGCTATCAGACCATTTACATTCAGTCTTCTTCACAGAATGAGCGTCAAAACATACAGTAAAATAACATAATTAATATATATATAATATAATATAATACAGTTTTAGCTTTAATTTAACATAAAATCTTTTTGGGGCTTTTTAAATGTTTAATGAAAGATATTTACAGTGTAAACAATGATCTATAAATCCAGGTGAACTCTGCTATAATACAATAATCAGACTTACATTTCCAGCAGAGTGCTGTTATTATTGGATTGTTATTATTTTAATGTGAATGTTAAAAGTTATAGAAGTGTAATAAAAGTCATTATCTGTGAGATTACAGTAATTATTGCTGTTTACACTGATAACAACTGTATTTGGACAGTTTACCTTATACACTGATAAACAACATTTATTCAACTTCCATCATTATACAACATATCTGTCAGTTAACAAACTAATACATTAAAATTACACAACTAATACTTTATTAAGTGTTAATGTCTAGAAATGTATTGACCGTATTAAACTTGAATTTATCATTTTCCTCTATTAAAGTTAATCTCTCCACATTCTTTAAATAAGATATAATAATAACAATAATAAGCAATCATTTTAATTTATACAATTAAAGATTATTTTACATTAGAAAACATTAAATCCAGAGGCTATATTTGTCATTCATGTATTTAAATACAGAAAGAATCTATAAAATAAACCGCTGTAGTTGCTTCTAGCTTTTATTAATTTTTCACAATGTGTCTGCACATCATCAATATCGATATCGATATCAATATCAGATCATTGAGGTTCTGTATTTGTATATAAAAGATATATAAATGTTTATAGACTGAGTAACCGTGAGGAGTATACACACACTACCTGTCCTACAGAGGCTCAGCTTACACACCAACGTTTCGTGACTCAAGATCACGCAATGCACGCAAAACGCAACCTCCGTGCGTCCATTATCGGACACATTCCAGCAGGACGCGGCACACACTCGGAGGGGGGAGGGACCCTCGTGTCCGGGTCGGGGGGCTCTGTAGGGTCCTGCTTGTTGTAGAGATGAAGGGATTCCGGGAAAATACCACAATAATGTCAGACACTGACAGCTGGCCACAGAACGGGTTTAGCTGCGTGTCCGATAATGGATCTCATGCGCAGGGTTTTCTCCTCTGCACAGGTAATCAATCAATCAATCATCAATAAAAGAGTTGTATTAATTAAACACTAATATTATACTGTCACACAGCTTCTCACACTCGACCCAGAACCGACAGGAAAGTCTGAAATCTCAACCTCAGCTAACCTGGTTAGCAAGTAGCGCAGATAAATCAGTGGAGACAACATCGAGCGAAACCTCATTTAAATATTACGCAATTCTGTGTCATCCTGGTTGACATCTGCACACAAACCTCAGGAACAGCATTCAACACGTTACCTGGATCCACGCGGGCCTGCCCGTTAATTCGGCTCTATAGTGATCACCAAAGCAGCCCATAATACAACAGAGCCTTATATTTAACAATGAATGTGCGTCATTCCCTTTAACGGTACACACACGGCAGGAGAGAGCGGCAGAAAGCGCGAAGCATCCCTAAAAGTACACATATGAACGGAAACATGTGCTGGTTAAAGGATTACACCTGAGCCGAACAGAATAATTAATATGTCCCACTCAAACAAAGTGAAACTTGTTACTTTATCGGGAATATTTATTCGCCGATAAGCGATGAAACAATTAATTCGCACATTTTTCGGTGCGCTTTGGCGCAACGTTCCCACCACTCAGGACGAAGCTTAGCTAGCAAACAAAACAATGTCCGACAATGGAAACCGCCGTGATTGCGGCCGCTCACCTGCAGCTCGGCCCGCTCCACCTCCCACTGAGCCCGCTCCACCTCGAACCGGGCCCACTCATGCTGGAGAAAGTGTAAAATCCCCGGGATGTTGTAGTGAGCCCTGGCCGCCTCTCCGCCGCCGAAGTCGCCAGTCTGCGGAGCTTTAATGTTCCCACCACCGGGCAAACCGGAGCTGTTGTTATTGAAGAAGACACCGGGGCCCGCCTGCTCGTCCATGGCCGGACCGGGGCGGGGTGGCTGCTGGGTCGGTCCGGTACTCTCAACCGCTTCGGTGGAATATCCTCCGGAGGGAAATGTAGTCCATCGACGGTCCTCTCTCTCCGCTGGGTCCAACTCCTGTCTGAGGCAGCTGTCAGAGGATGAGACAACCGTCGAGCTAACGGCAGCACCGGAATCACAGGGCTTCCGGTCCGGACTTTCAAAATACAACCGACGTTAATGTACATGTGCAATAACATTAACAACAACAAAAATAATAACAACAGCAACAACAATAACATTAATAACAACAATAACAACAACAATAATAATAACAATAACAACAACAACAAAAATAATAACAACAACAATAACATTAATAACAACAATAACAACAACAATAATAATAACAATAATAACAACAACAAAAATAATAACAACAGCAACAACAATAACATTAATAACAACAATAACAACAACAACAATAATAACAATAACAACAACAACAAAAAAATAATAACAACAGCAACGACAATAACATTAATAACAACAACAATAATAACAATAACATAAACAACAATAACAACAATAACAACAACAATAACAACAGCAACAACAGATAATTATTATAATAATCACAATAATAATAATGGTAACAACAACAACAATAATAATAATACCATTATTTTTTGTAATTCCTGTATTTTGATTAATTGTAAAATCTAAATAAAAAAACCTGTTGACTTTTGTTGGGGTTGTTGTTGTTGTTGGGGTCTGGACCAAACAAACAAACAAACAAACGTTTTCTTACATCTGAAGAACAAGATTTGTACGTTTGTCATATTTAACCTTTAATAATAAATAACAGCCTCTTGTGATTTGGATATTGCTCTATACATATATAAATATATACATATATAAATGTAATATGTGTATTTATATATGTTTATATGTGTATTTATATATGTTTATATGTATATGATATTGTGATATCGATTATATTTACTGTAACTGTTTGAAATGTAATGATATTATTGATATATTATTATTTTTATCAGTTCATACTCACTGGGTGGTAACAGGGACAAATATAAACTAGACATTTGAACTCAAACTCATTATTGTGGCTCATTAGTAAAGTCTTAGAGAAATATCTGAAGCTGGAATTAGAAATAGATAAATAGTTTT